CCCGCATCGGGCTCCCTGCTCCGCGGGAAGCCTGCTTCTCCCTCTCCCACTCCCACTGCTTGTGTTCCCTCTCTCGCTGTATCTCTCTCTGTCAAACAAATAAAATCTTTAAAAAAAAAAAAAAAGATTCTCTCTCTCCCTCTGCCCCACCACTCCCCTCTTTCTCTTTCTCAAAAAAACCCCAAATAAACAAACAATAAAATAAAAATTAAAAAAAAAGTAGATAGGTAGCACAATGTGCACTGATAAAAATGCAAGAGCTGAACCAATAGACTAGAAATTAAGGACTAGGAGTGAAATGTTAAACAATATGAGAACCAGGGATGCAATATATAAAACTATATATTTATCATTCTATGTAAGAAAATGAAATGAGGAAAACAAGCCACAAGAATTCCCCTTATTAGACATGAATAACCTTTTCTGATTCCAGAAGGAGCAAAGGAAAGGAAGAGGGGAGGAAGGGAAGGAGATGAAGGAAAAGGAAGAAGAGAGGAGAAAGAGCAAGGGGAGGAGGAAGAAGAAACAGTTTAACAATAGGAGTATGGCTGTGAAGTAGCAACATATCTAATTTAAATCCTACACCTCCACCAGCCAGCAACCACACATTTTAAAGCTGTGGGTGCTGGAAGAGAAGAGAGGTTGATGAAAGTAAACAAAAGGGTAGAATCAAGAGCTAAGCCAGACTAAAAATTACAACCAAAATGAAATTCAGGAGAAAAATATACTACTTGGCATGAGTTGGTGTGAAGCTTGTTGATATCCTGTGCTGTTTTTAAAAAAAGAAAATGACACTCTCACCTAAATCCAAGTAGAAGCGTAATTTTCCTACTTTAGTTAGAGCCTGACCATTTGGACCAGTTTAAAGTTTTGACTTATAAAGCTTCTTTAGGTAATAGGTTACATATGTTTATAAGCTGCCATGGAAAAGAGGCATTTCCTTTCATTGGTCCTAAAACAACTCTGGCTGTTTTTAAGGGATTCTCCACTAGTAAAAAGAGAGGGTCACAAAACAGGCTATTAATTATATAGGATGGCTAGGCACATAAGTCCTTCCTGTTCTCCTTCCCGCTGCCTGGTGGGAGGCCTGAAACTGCTGAGCCACAGAGAGCCTCCAAGGAGCCAGGCAGTAGGGTCCCTCCAATTACAGAACTAGAAACAGATGACAATAGGCTCCTTCCAACACCTGTTTTCATCCTATTAGAGTTCAGTTGATCTGGTTGACGTTTCAAAAACTAAAAAATCCTTTAAAAAACTAATCATCTATGAAAATCTCAAAGCTCTGGATCACTTTAATTACTAATCTCCAGTTCTTAACCATCACTATGGCTCTAGAATTCTAAAGATTCATTTTTGACAAGATTATCTTACAACATAGGAGGAAAAAAGCTGGTTTAGATTATAAAAACTAGACGTTATTTCCTAAGTACAAGTTGACAGTGGAGAGAAATGACCAGAAGCATTCTAAGTGGATGGAAAAGTCAAGCAGAAGCTGTGGGCTTCTCACTTCACTTGGCAGTAGAGGAGATATGTTCTGATAAAGTTCTATGTAAGATGAACCTTGATATATTATACTATACTAAACATAAGTACCTTTAAATTCAAGAATTACATAGAGGATCCTTTCTCAAAGCAATCAATTGTATCTGATTTATGTCTTTATAAGGCAGGCAATTAAAAGTATTGGTTTTGCTTAAACGACACCCATGATATTCAAGCTGAAAATAAAAGGCTGATTACATGTATACCAAGGGTTTTATCATCAGATTCCACTGGAAGACACTGTGTCTCCATCCTGTATGGCCTAAAGAACACTGGAGTAGGGGAGACCTGTCCAGTTCCAAGTGCAGAAAGATGTCAGTGTAATTTTCTCTCCTTGAAGAACTAGGTGCCAGCAATCCTCATTTTACTACACAGTAAGGAAGAGTATCACATGATTTAAAAACACACAGTCACTGGTAGAACAAAAGTCTTTCAGGACACATAAAAGGATGCATTTAAATACCTGACTTAATAAAAGTCACAATCACACACACACACAAAAAACACATGCAATTTGTTTAGTTCTAGCTCTACATCCTTTGTACACCATTTTAAAACATGCATGCATTTTAAAATATGCATGAAATAATGGCAGAATGGCAATAACATGGAACATATAAAGGCTGCATTTGAGTTTCCCCATTGCCACAATTCATCATTAACTTTAAAAAGTCCAATAGTGACAGTGCCATCAGTAAAAATGGCAGAGCCTGGAACTCCAAAATCCTGTCCTTGGACAAAAAGTGAATAAATGTGCAAAAATCTGAAATCAACTGTATCAGAAATCTGGAAACTAATCAAAAGTTTATAGCACCAGGCAAATACTTACTAAGGGAAAAAAACAAAACAAAACAGCATAACCTTGGCAACAGCACTTTTCAGTGCTTTAACTTACTCTGACCCTATCTCGCACTTTTAGCCAGGAAATGATTTCTACTTAGGGGTAGACGGGATACACACAACACGTGTTTCTCTTCTTGTGTCTATGCTAAGATGCCACACAAAAACAACTGAGGTTACCAATTCAAAGGAAAGTGACTAAACAGGCACAGCACTAATTAACTTTTAGTCATGTTTGTGGGATTCCTTGTTTGGGCCAGGAAAGAATCAAATCCTAGTATGTAAGCAAATCATCTGTAGATTATATTCAGTAAAGAACTTGCCTAAAATTATACAGTCTTCACAGAATCAAAGAAATGCCAAAATGTAACAAGCACTAACACTGTCACTAACAGCAACAAACCTCATTTACAATATACTTTCAATGGATCTAAATACCTTCTACTGATCTTTCCAACAATAAACTTTAGAGAAAAGCTAACCATTACAGTAGCCACCAGCCATGTATGTGGCTATTTAAATTTAAATTAATAAAAATTGGGGCGCCTGACTGGCTCAGTCAGTAGAGCATGCAACTCTTGATCTCATTGTCATGAGTTTGAGCCCCACAATGGGTGTAGAGATTACTTAAAAAAAATAAAAAATCAAATATGAATTCCTTTACAAAAATTAAGTAAAATTTACAAATGTCAGTCACATTGGCCATATTCTGAGCGTTCCACAGCCATCACAGAGCGTTCTCTTGGACAGTGCAGCTTTAAAGAGATCAAACAGAGGACATGCCTGTCAAGTAATACTTCGTATCCTGAAGACAAGTGACTATAGGGCTTAATCTGATGCATTACTCAGAAAATTTATCAAGTGTTTACCATCTGCTCTGAGAATAGAGCAGATGATAAAGTCACCACACCCACAGAACTCTAGTAGGGGAGGGACACAGACAAGTAAAAATATATTACAATTCCTGCGATGAGTACTGTGAAGAAAAACAGGTAAGCTACAGAGTGAAGAGGGATGAGGTAATAAGGCTTCTTTGTCAGAAGTGATGTGTGCGCCTCAAAGTACGCTAGTGCCCAAGATAATACGTGATGTGAGAGGCTCCTCTGGAGCCATCAAAGCCATTTAAAGCACTATGTATGTAGACTCTGAGCTTACAGAACACACAGAATCAACCTCTCCACAGCTCCAAAACCAGTATGCAACAAATACTTAGTTCATTAAATAGATGAAGTGGATCTGGCTGGTCTACACTTGTAAGTCTATTACAAAGATATTCAGATTAAATTTAAATGAAGGGATGCAAGTTGTCCTACTCTACAGTGGAATAATACATTAGGGGAAAAATAAAAATGGAAACTCTTTTGAACTCATTCATGAATGTGTGAAATAAAGTTAAAAAGCAAATCTGACTGGGGTGCCTGGGAGGCTCACTCAGTTCAGCGTCCAACTCTTAGTTTAGGTTCAGATCATGATCTCAGGGTCATGAGATCTAAACCTGCGTCAGGGTCCACGCTCAGCAAGGAGTCTGCTTGAGATTTTCTCCCTTATACTCTCCCTCTGCCACTCTCCCTGCTCCCGTGCACTCTCTCTCACACATACAAACACAGACACACACACAATCTCTCAAATAAATTAAAATCCAAAAACAAAACAAAACACAAAAAAACCCAAATCTGATCACTCTATATTATACCTTACTTATATACTTTGTGTTATGGTATTATCTGTCCACTTCTACTAGTTTTTTTTAAAGATATGCATGAACTTTTATGGGCATAATTTCACAGGGAATACTTGCTTGGATAAACATTCATTAAGTGAACTAATATACTGATTTACTTTCTAACCTTTGGCCAGAATATTCTACTTATTACACATCAGTCCTTAAAACACATGTTTTCTTTTGGAGTGATTTTCTAATTTGACTGAATAGTCAAGACTAAAAGAGTTCCATAAACAGATCATTCACCTTTCTGTATGTTCTGAATTTCTAAATAAAGACCTTAAATGATATATGAAACTATTTTTTTTCTTATACATGTTCCTTATTTTTATCCTCTCTAGAACTGACCTTATATTCTCTCCATGTCTGTTACATCTCTATCAACTCACCTAACTCAAGACTGCAACAGACCATCGACAGATGAATGGATAAAGATGTGGTATATATATACAATGGAATATTATGCAGCCATCAAAAGGAATGAGATCTTGCCATTTGCAACGACGTGGATCGAACTGGAGGGTATT